CTTTATGTTAACGTTTTGATAAGGCAAACTACTTTATATATGTAATATCTGTCTAACATGAAAAAGAAAAAAAAAGACAACTTATCTGAAAGAAATCTTTGCAAGGCCCTTCAAAAAGAGTTATATCCAAATTTCATTTCTGCTATAATTATAGGGAAAGGGGGATTGGGTTTACTAGGTGAGATCTAATATGATGATCTTGACTTTGAATTAGGGAATAGGAACAAGAATATTTTCATATTTCAAAATTAAGTTGAACTTAGGTACAAATGTACATTAAGAAGATGGTTTTGGCAAGGAATGAGACCTTCCGTATTCCACCTCGAGCTCCATACACATTCCTTACGCCCCATGGCTTACTGGATTATATAATCATCAGACAAATTACATAATACATGGTGTATGGTAACGTAATGTATAAAATATTTACATATACTTGTTTAATATTAATATTGTTTTTGTTCAAGAATCCCAACCAAATAAAAACTCTTAATTAAAAGTTAAAACAGATGTAAATTTCTAAGTGCTTTGATCTGTTTTCCAGAGGAACATCCCTTTATTACTAAGTTCACTCACATTTGCAGTTGATATAGTACATGTAGTTGTAAAAGTTTATAAATACTAGGTCTATATGCAATAATACTTTTTAATATACACTTTCTTGTACTCATGATGAAAGGAATATTTCAAATGGTACTCAACCTTGAACTCTGTTTGACTAAACAAATCATAATCTATTCTCTCCAGGAATAATAGTTTAGTAATCAATGAATATTGATATAAAGTTCACTGTATGTTAATTTAATTTCTTTTATACCGTTTTGATTTGTGACTCGTGTAATAATATAGTGTTTTCATGTAAATTTCTAATGGCATTACCACTTTTTTAGGTTACCCTCCCTTTCATAATACATCTCTAGCATTGAACACAATTGGTTCCATACCTAAGATCATTACCTGTGGTACGGACTCCATTTCATCTTTAATTCATATTTTAGGCCTTAATCTTTCGTATATTGATTGAAAGAGAAAGCACAAACGATTAATTAAATATATCTGTGCATGTCGGGTATGTCCTAATATTTACAAAAAGCAAACAGACAGCAAGTATTAATAACTAGTGCTCTCAAGATAATGGTAAATTTTATCGTAAATTTTTGGTTGAATTATAACTTTCGGGGGGGGGGGGGTCTCAAGAAATAAACAAAAGTTGGGCAACATGCTACTTAATTGATCTTATCGGGAAATCGGGAAATAACGGAAAAAGCCGTTGGCAATTTAGTGTGAAAATTAGACTAACAATTAGTATAAAAAACGTAAGTCAACATTTGATTAAATGATAAATTATATTTGCTGACAAGGTCATTGTATTGACCATAGAACTTAAGAAATAATAACTTTAAACAAGACTGCTGCTAATCTTGTTTCACCAACTTGTTTGCCAAAAAATTACTATGTTTTAGAAATTATAAGTAGGTAGAGAATGGACTTACTTATTGATTCAATTGGAAGATATAAATCCGTTTTCATGTGCTTATTGTTGCAGAAGTATGGGAAGTTGACAATTAAAAAGTTAGTCATTACGTTTATCATAAAGCTTGGCTGTTGGATTATCATTAACGTCTTTTTGAAGTAAAATATTTAAATTTGAAACAGATCTGTCAGACTATGTTGTATATTGCATCTCAAGATCAATAGGATAATTAATTTATCGTAGAGTATATGATTGTAAAGTTGAAAAGTTGTAAGTTTTTAAGCTGATGATTTTGGTAAATATTAAGTTTCCAAATGTTCCTTAGAAATTTATTTACTTCATTATTGGTATTTTATGAAGTTAAAGCATTATTGATAGTGGATGCCAAAAGAAAATTTTAGGTAAGTGTCTCAAAATAATTAGTCATCCCAGTTTGATTGTTAAAGGCGAGGAATTCTGTAAAATTGTTGCTATATGACTGTTGAAATAAAAAAAATCTTCTGAAAATATCGTTTGAAATGTCACTCTTGGATTTGACAAGAGAAATACGATTTTTGTAACCTAAGTTTATATAATCTGAAACTTTTGATATGAAATATCAAATTGCTTTTTATATCTGATTCATATCAGATCTAGATTATTTGCTTGGCATAAAATTTCCGTTTTCCGTTCCTTTCGGCTTTCCGTTCTGTTTTCCGTTCTGCCTTTTAGTAACACCTAGAAATTTGAAGCCCTTCACTGGCATACAGTGACGTCAACATATGAGTGAAAAGTTCTCGAAAGGGACGTAAAACAATGTACAATCAATCATACATGTTTACCTCTACATTTAGTTTGTTCACGTAATACCCAGAAGCATAGGAGAGGATACTCAAAGAATTAACGCATTTTCACTATCTAATCAGTAGAGCATTCACCGAACGGAACCCTCACCTTGAGACTACACATACCAATCTTTTGGAAGGTCCCCAATTGCTTACCACATTACACAATTAGTTGTTTCTTTAATAGCAGGTAAGCTTATGACATTAATGCATTAATTTTCGGTACGTACATGTACATGTAATCAACGGAAACCCACCCACTGAACTCCTAAGTCCGGACCACATCTTTGTTTGATAATATACCCTTACTCATCATGCATTTATATAACGTTTTAAAATAAGTTTTCCTTTTATGTCACAAATGTAATTAGATGTTTAGTGTAAATATCAAACTCGACCTTGCAAGGCAGTATAATGTTTATTAGCATATGAATTAGTTTTTTTTTTAAATTTACGTCTGAAAAAATTCGGTTCTGTCAACTTTAGCGTGAGTAAAGTTAACGTTGTTGGAAAAAAATTAAAACATTGCATTCAGAGTTTATGATGAGAATTTCCTAAAGATTTGGAAGAAAATCAGGTTAAGCGTAGAGATGTCGGTGACCTAAAACTTATCTACATTGTTTCCATTTTCTATATACGCAGATAAATTGATCGCCAAAAAGCAATATGTCATTGACAATTAAAAATCATTTTTATACGTATTGCCATGCATTTAAAAGTAAAGATATTGGTAAAATAATGTATAAATATTTGATATGTGAGAAAATTCGTGGATATAAAAAGGAAGGAGCTAAGCCTTTTTTTCTTCAATGTTTTTTTTTTAAATAAGGAAATACATTTTTTATTATTAAGAAAAGGAAGAATTAAAATGATTTAATAATAACCTTTTAATACAAAATCTTCAAAAGCACAATATTAACTTAGATATTGAGGAAGAAATGTTATCCAGAAGTATGACAAAATCAGTAGGTAGGTTATTATTTTTTTACTAAGAGCTTCACAATAATTATGTACATGTATATCAAAACATTCATCATTAAAGGCTGAAAACAATTCGTAATTTTAAAAATCTTTCATTGTATTGAACATTAAACTAATGAACAAACTACAGAAAAACAAATGTTTGATTCATTCGTAAAGGAGTATGCGAGGCCTTAAAGGACTTCGACACTCAGCCAGGAAGGACTACTCTTTAAGTTATACTTTAATTCAAAGCAAAGCTTTGCAAAGCTCCATAAATCACTTCTAATTTCATTTCATGGTAATAAACATTGGTATCTAAAAATGCTTTAACGGGATAAACATTTCTACTTTTAATTCTGTGAAGTTCAAAGAACCTTGAAGCACATTGAGAGGCATATAATGAAAATTGTCGCATGAAAAGAATTAATTTTCAAGCTTCATTTAAAGACATTTTGAATTAAATTATAAATTAAAGAGTTGTCCTTCCTGGCTGAGGGTCGAAGTCCCTTAACTAGGCTCAAATTTTTAGTGAGGCAAGGGTACTGGGCATTCTTAGTCCCAGACGGTGCAATGGTAGTACTTGATGGCCAGTGATGGGGGTTTTTAGGGGGAAGGGGATCCTGAAACCTGGGTATTAGACAATAAAAGATTTTTAATCTTAGAAAGTTTTTTTTACGTTTGGAATTGTCGCCTGAATGGCACAGTGGTTAGAGCGTGCACTCTAGAGTCGCAGACTAAGGCGTTGATCCTTACATCGCGTGTTCGAATCCCATTGCGGGATGAAGAGTCTGGTCCTTCGGATAAGACCGTAAAAATCGAGGTCCTATGTCACAGTAGGTGATGACACAAAAAAGATCTCTTAATTTTCAATAATCTTCAGTGACTCTAAAAGCCCAGTACAGATTTAAAACTTGCAGCCCTCACCCGGCAACTAGTAATGTCCCAATCTGAATGAGAAATTCTTGGAAGGAATGTTAACAATCAAAAAACTTTTTGAATTATATTTTACATGCCTTCTAAATGAAAATGAGGAACGATTTACAGAAATTGAAACAAAAGTTGAAAATACTAAATATAAATGTAGTACGAACATGACGAAGACACACATAATTCATGAGTTCAAAGAAAAACTTTTTTCACTTTACAAAAAACTCTAAAAATTTACGGTAGTTATTCAATGGTAGTTACGGTTTTGGTATGAAAAGGAATGTACATGAATGGTGTGAAACTTAGTCTAAAAGTGGAATAACATCAAGTTTATTGTCAAAGGTGTATAATATACTTGTAATGTGTGTCTCAACAATTGTGATTGACTGATTTACAATTGTGATATTTACAATTGGAATATTGTGAGTGATAACTTTGAAATCAATAACAATGTTTATTAAAATGCATACCAGATAAAGAAGTGCAACAAAATAATGTTAAACAGAGACATACTTTAAAATCGACCCCCCCCCCCCCATTTTTTTAAGCAACCTACGTACCTATCTACTCAATTACTTATCAACCTACTTTTTCAGTTTTCTTCGTTTTAATATGCGGTGACTTTTGTTCGTTTGCAGCAGAAGTATTTGAATGCAGTGAGTACACCTACATATAATGTAGTATAAAGCAAATAATAATCAGGAAAAAAATGACAAGTATTCTTAATCTTAAACACTTTCATATGCTGGATTCAATATTTATTATTTGTGAACACTACGTTATTTACAGATTGTTCCTGCCTCTGTATTTTGGGCTTTACATGCAGCTCCTGCGTACATCAAGGAGGTTGAGTAGATCTTTGTTTAATAATATGTTGTCAGAGCTAGAAATGTTTGAATATAATTAAGACCTTTGTCTAAAACTTTCAATTTAGAAAAGACGCAACCCAATAGCTTATAAAAATATGAAATATGTGAAAATTATTTTTTTTCACATATGTGTCTTTTAATTACTGTCCAAACAAACAACAGTATAGAAATATATTTGTTTCAAACATTATGATATTCAAAATCTGAAACTTATCCCCATTGTTTAAATTTGTTTCAACTGTAGAGTAATAATATTGTAATAATGAATATAGTTTAAATATATATATATATATATATATATATATATATATATATATATATATATATATATATATATATATATATATATATATATATATATATATGAAAATACCATTTTTTTCTATAGCTCATTATAATAAATTCACTCTAATGCGCTTAACATGCGCATACAGTGTACAAAATGGAGAATAAAATACTTACAAATACATATGAAAATACATTCAAAAATAGAAAATATATAAAAAAAAAAATGAATAACTAAAGGACCATAACATATTACTTGTGTATTGTACATTGTACCGAGGTCATTATATAAAATAATAACTACTGAACTATTTAAATATTAAAAGAACCTGTACATATGAGTTTAACATAAAAATTGTTTGCACTTCACTGCCATATTGATCACAATGTTTAATAAAACATTTTTTCTACATAATACATCTTTCAATTATCATTTTCATTCAAGGTTCGAAAAGTTTTCAAGTTTCAAAATCATCACAATTCTAATTTTGTAGTAGAAAAATCATTTTACGTAAATGTTATAAACAACACATATAAGTTTTCATGTCACTCCAAAAATGATCTAAAAATTTTTTATATGAAAAAAGTCTCTTACTGTGACAGAAAACACGACTACAGTCGAAATAAAAAAAATAAAATATTATCAAAATTGACAAGCATAAACACGATTTTTTTAAACAGATGGGTAGGGGCTTCAGCGAGGTTTTTCATATTGAACGCTCGTTTTTGGAATGTTTGGTCTTCCCTTGTTAGCAATTGTAGGCTTATCCCTCATTTAAACAATAAATTCTCTAGACTACAATTAATTTAATAATTATACTTTTCATAGCTATAAGTAAATGATATAATAGGACTGAACGTTTTGTTTCCATTTAGATGTATGTGGTTGGTGCTCACAACATTGTGCAATATTCCAAGAACGGACTTCATTATGTGAAATAGGAAGTCCTCCAGGTAAGGTCCAAACGAGGCTTAATTTACATATTTAAGGTACATGCAACAACGCGGGTATGTTAAGGCAGCACATGGATCAGAATGTGGCGGATTAACACTTTTTTATAATTATGTAACACTAATAAATCGGAAAAGTAAAGGATAAAACTTTTGCTATAATTATGCATTCTATAGACTTCAATGAGACTTATACTACAGGAGGCACTACACCACGACGTCACCACGTGACGTCTATAATTAGAAAATATGACTTAATGAAAAAAAAGTTTAACACTACCCCGGGGATAATTAGTTTCAATTTGTAATAATAGTTATGTAAAAACATTTCTGTACCATGAAAAGTGCTGCTAGAATTGTACTGTCCTATTGTAGAAATAATTATTCAACAATTTCGGACGAAACCTTCCAAAAATTTCTACATTTTGTTAATAACATTGGAAAAAAGCATCAATTCCCGTAAACCATACGATTCTAGCAGCACTTTCCAAAAGCAAAAGAATAAGAACTTTAGATAGAAACAAAAATTATGTTTCAAGGTGTGCGGCGTAGTGTTGAACTTTTGCATTTTTTTTTGTTACGAACGACAGAGTAAAGGCTGATCGGCAGGTAAACACCCTCCCTGCTATAATTTTACGAAGAAAGTGCAAAATTATATTACCATACCTTATTCATACGCTTTATTCCCACAAGAATTACACATGATATTCATTCTAAATGCTTTTAAACTCCGATTTCTTGTGTTTGTTTACATCAATTCTCGTTACATTTCACTTTCACTCTGCTACTGCATGATCAACAGTTATGACGTCACGGGTTTGGTATGTAACCCCTGTGATATCTACAGAGGCCCAGGAACGACAAAATTCCGTTTATATTATGCCTCTGCATATTTTGATTCATTTATACGACCTCAAATCAATCTTAGATATCGATTTTAAGAAATTATTATCTCAGGTCATTACGAGGGGTGATCAAAAAATTCGCAAACTAATTGAATATCTTTCATAAAACAAATAAAATCAGGTTTCAGTGTACATATGTTTTAAAGTCGCCCTCCCCGACTTTAATTCATATCAGCCATCGTTCTGCCCATGCGCGAATCACGTGATCAAGGCAGTCACGTGACATGCTCTGAAGCATTCCGTTCGTAGACGCTATCATATTTTCCAGAGTCATATTTCTTACCATGCAAGTTAATTTTTATAACAAGAACAGTCCATTTGTCAGAAATGACCAAATCTCGGAAATAGGATGGTTGGATAAGGATATCCTTTCCAGAAAGAGCATGGTGACCATCACAACCCGAGTCCTCTGTCTTAGGAACGTCGTTTATCCGATATGAATATATAGTGTGGGGGTCTTCTTTTTATCATATTTAATATGTTTAAAATCTAAAGTAAAAGGGATTTAATAGTGATATCATTGTTAAGACATACAACTATTTTTCTAGCTGTATCTTCCCGATCTTTCATAATAAATTGCGCAACAAGTGACTCATCTCTTCCCCAGCCTGCCTTTGCAGGGCTACAAAATAAACGTTATTTTTTAACCCTCTCCCTCCCTTTACTTTAATGTTAACAGTCAATCAAATTTATGATTAAACGTCTGGGAAGTCTATTGCCTTATAATCCTTGTACAAATTAAATTAAGATAATTCAAAGAATTCCTAAGTTATAAGTTAAACTTTAAGGCCTTTCGTTGCTCGAGTAATACTGTGACAACCTTTTTTCGTCACGAGTCACCTACATATTGATGTCATTTTCACATTTTGACGTCACAATGATGGGGAAAATCATTACTTTTCATATGCTATTTATAGAACCTGTGCATGACTATAGGTGTGTCAAATTTCATTCTGAACTGAATCGTAGTTTTGTAAATATAGACTCTGAGATAGTTCGCGAACTTTTTGATCACCCCTCGTATATATAATTACGAAGTTGTGCTAAGATTTGTATTAATTTTATTCAAATTTAAAGTTTGTTTTATGATTGCAATAATGAAAAATGTGTGTCTTGTTAAGCATGTTAAGTGATAATGTTGTTGTACAGATTTATATTGACATCAATATTTTTTTTCAGCTTGTCCTCCCTCTCAATGTACAAGTGCATCACCAATAAATTGTACTGGTTCCACACCTGAGCCTTATGTTACACACATGGGTATGATTTTGTCATTCAGTATGGTGAAATAAGCCTGCAATTGTTTATGGGGTTCAGATTAAGCACAAATAAATTCAGAACAGTACTGTTACTATAAGAAATATAATGATAATATGATGTGCTGATTGTGAATCAGACCAAACATTTATCTTCGTCAACATAACATTATAAATGAAAGCACATTCTTACTGTTATCATTTTTTTCCATTCACTCTCTTTCGTCCCTAGACATTTTTAATCTCGGATATTATCCGTTATATTATGGTTAAAATGAAATTGGAAGCAGAAGATAGAGACAGTCATGTGTTACTCCACTGATATACACTTAGATTTTTAAAAAAAATTGTTTTGTGATGATAATGAAAAGTGTATGGCTTGTAAAGCATGTAAACCGAAAAAATTGCCAGAACGATATGTTACTCGACTGAATACACTTTTTTTTATTTATATGCAGAAAAAATGTAAAGCTCTGATACAAAAATATCCCTATCTACCCAAGCTGGTCAAATAATTAATTGTTAAATAAAAACCATATGCGGACAGGAAATTAAGGGTATTGTACCTTCTAAATGTACATTCATCAATGATAATCATGTCTTGCTTAGACTTTAGGGAGATCCCGTTGCCATTGTGATATTAGGTGCTCAATAAGTTTCTGTACGTTTGTCTGGGATCTCCCTACTAATTAAGGTAGTTTATTTGTAATTAGTTGTTATCTTTGTCATTAATCAATGACAATATTCATCAAACAATGTCTTATTGTGTTTTAAGGAAGTAAAAATTAAAAAAGCTACAGGACCAACAGGGAACTGGTTTTCACGCATTCTTAACAATACAAGCATTTGTCTAGCATAAGATAAATGGAGGGCATAATAAAATATTATTTTTAAATAATTTGTTTTATGGCATCATTGTATCATTTTTTCTGAAATTGCAGATCTGTGATCACGTGGAAGTCACTTTTATTTTTACCCTAGTACGTGAAGAATGCTTTTATGTAAACAGAGGGATTGTTTGTGTAAACAATTAACTAATTTTTTTTACACAAACAATTCCTCCGTTAACATAAAAGCGTCCTTCCACGTGATCACAGATCTGCAATTTCATTGGTTGATGATGAGGTACAAGGACAAGTATTTATAAAAATAGATACAGATGAATCTTCAGGCTAAAAATAACTATAAAAATCAAATACTAAAATTAGATTTTGTGACAAAAATAGATAATGCGATACAATGATGCCATAAAACATGTTATTTAAAAATAATATTTCATTTTTGTATTTTTTAAGTTTAAATTTTTGCCATCGATTTAAAATTTTAACCGGAACATTTAATGTTAATATGGATGTTAACTTAGTATGATATCAAATTCTTCCATTGACTTTTTACAAGCATTTGAATAAAAAGGTTAATTTACAAGAAAAAAAATCAAAATTGAAGCTACTAATATGAAAGTTTTCAAATTTAAAGTAAGATTCATTAATCTAATTCTTGGTTTTATTCATACTGGTGTTATTAAATCAAATATTTTAGCATAGTAAAAACAATAACCATATATTTTAGCAGCATTTTATTTTCATAACACAGATTAGCAGAAGTAAAAATGAATGTATATTATAAAACTAAAAAAACACTTTTAAAATGGTATTGTGACAACATGCATCTAATAGATTTTTCAACACCTGTGCCTTAAGGCTTCCTGTAATTAAGGTGACACTACAGCTATCTTGAGGTAAAGCATTTTAAATATGCAAAGCATCGTATTATGTTCAGTGTTATGATATAAAGAGATTAATTAAAAAATGAAATATAGGTTTCTCAGCTGGAGTTGTGGTCGGCGTGATGTTCGGTGGAGTGTTCCTTGGATCTATCATTACCTCATTTGTTTTTATTTTCCTTTGGCAAAGAGCAAGAAAAGAACAGGAGAAGTATTACATTTTATATTTTCTTGTTTAACGTATTGTTACATATATTAAAGATAACTTTAATAAAGATTCTATGTTCTGATCAACATTGTCCCACTGACATGTTGCAAGAGACCTATAAGAGATTTTTAATAAGACTTAATCTACTATTTATTCCTTATACATGTATCATTTTCTATGCATAACCATCTGAAACTGAAATACTATATAGACTCAGGGTCCACATCGCTCACCTGAGCACATTATATTGCCTAGGAAAAAACAGAAAATTTAATCACTTCAGTATTGAACATTAACACTACCACGGGATGCTCTTGAGCAGAAAAACTAGAAAAAAAAACTTTATGTTACTACTGTATGTGAAATTCTGATTCGTGATGTTGCCCCACATATCTACCCTTAATTTCAAGAACTTTGAATCTGCACGACCTGAGGAAGTTTCGATGATGATATGATCAATTAATGATTTACTGTTCTTGTGCAGACATTTTATTTATATTCCTAAACAATTTGTTCTTGAAAAGACGACTTAAAACATGCCACTCTGGCATTTTTTTTTTTTTTACAAATTCTCAAATTTTCAGGGCATAGAAAATCTATCTTGTGAATAAACTTAAATAGTACTGCGTTCATACTGACATGAATGTTTCTATTAGCTTAGATTGATAACGAGACGAAATATTGATTTTGCTATATGCTTGTATTTCGTTTCTTTATACGTCTTTATACATACATATATATATATATATATATATATATATATATATATATATATATATATATATATATATATATATATATATATATATATATATATATAAAAAAATGCACAAAGAAATTCACTTTTACATGGATACCCACTTCCGCCCCAGCCCGGGGTTGAACTCTCGACCTTCGGAACCTGCCACGGCGCTGCCCTACACTACACGGTCATTGAGAATACTCAATGACCGTGTAGTGTAGGGCAGCGCCGCGAAATTCCATCGGCATCGAAAGCAAGTTTTTTTAACTTGCCTAGATAGCCGAGCGGTCTAGCGCGCTGTATATCCTGCACTGCTAGGAGACAGGTTCCGAAGGTCGAGAGTTCAACCCCGGGCTGGGGCGGAAGTGGGTATCCATGTAAAAGTGAATTTCTTAGTGCTTTCTATATTAATATTTCTTCACTTAGGGCAGTTATGTTAGTTTAAGAGTTGTTGTAAAATGTGCTTTATATATGTATATATATATATATATATATATATATATATATATATACATATATATATATTTCCTAGTTTTATTTATTATATTTTCGAGATTAACCTTTGGTTTTATAGATAAAGTATAAATACTGATTTCTCCCTACTAGAAAGAAGAATGTCTTGGAAAATTGTAACCATAACCCAGCGTACGAGAACGGAGATGATGATCAAATGAATACAAGAAACAGGACAGTAAGAACAAATTGTGTCTTTTATTATTATTTTAATAACAAAGATTTTATTGCAAATTTGACATAAAATTACACTATCCAATTTAATGTGAAAGTAATTTTTTTTTAATTAATTTATATCACTTTGCTTGTATTCAGTATCGATACCTAAAATTTGCATATTAAAAGATTTATACCTGATTATGGAAATAAGGAATTCAGAGAAAAATAATTCTGCAAAAAATGTTAATTTTAAATCAAGATTTATTTTCTTTTTAATGAATCAAGACATTGAAATTATAAATATCAATTTATATGTTTCAAGGTTTCAAATAAATACGCAAATATTGTTGGCCATGTATACTTGATAATGCCTAATGAATATTTGAATCAAATGCACATATGAAAACGCAAAATTTCAGCCAAAACCTACAAAAGTATCACATGTTAATCCCATTCCAAGGGAAAATATTCCTACATCCCAAGCCACGGAAGACGGTGTATATAACCATTTAAATGAAGCATCTACATCTACAAAAACAGATGACGTTTACGACCATGCTAGACCGCATTCCTCGACATCAGTACATTGTGAGGGGTACGGAACGTTGGTGTTTGATCATGAAGGAAATGATGTTTACATGGAAGGAGATGGCAAGGGAGCTGGATGTAGTGTTGAAATGGAAACTAAAAATGAATACACTGCTCATAATTACTTTGTCCTTGAAAAAGAAACACCAAAATAGATGTAATCTATTATTAGTAAAAAAAAAGGTGTTTTTTAATTATAATGTAGATATAATTTCAACATGTGATTGTGCGCGCAATTATAAATTCATTTTTGTAAGGATTAAAACTTTGTTGTTGAATTTCAACTCAAAACGATGTAAATGTTAAAAGTGTTGACGAATTTTTACTACTATTAAAACAGTTTAATTGCTTATTTTTTCTAAGTAGGTGTCTTTTTTATTGAAAACATCAAACGAGGGGTGATCAAAAAGTTCACGTACCATCTCTGTATTAAAATAAACAGCAATTCAGATCAGAATGACATTTGGGATACATAGAGTAATACACGTGTTCTATACATAGCATATATGAAATGAAAGTTTGCTCTATGTCTGTGACGTCACGATGTGAACATGACGTCAATAATCAGATCACTTTTGACAAAAAATGGTTGACTATGTCATACTGGAGAAACGAACGGCTATTAAATTAATCGAATATCTTGGAAATTTCTTTGAGGTAGTATATAATGAAACATATGGGGATGACAAAGGGTATTCAAGATCAGAAGTCCATAATACAATACAAAATAGGAGCAGAGCAAACACGGACTTCTAAAACATCCGAGGTGAGATAAAGTGCCAACGAGGAGTGCGCATCCCCTGCCGATCTGATTTGTTTGTGAAGACAAAAGACTTGAGTTTGTCTTCAGAGGTTTATTCATTAATTTGGTTGATTGTTTTAGTGAAAGTAGGAAAAAATAAAAGAAATGTTTGTTCTTAGAGATTAGAAAGAGATTACATGTAAAAAGATTAGGAGACAAATATAATTTTAGGACAAAAAATACTACAGACAAGCAGGCAGGCAGTTAATTTATTGCATTTTTTTTACCAATATTTTCCATTATTTTACCGAGCAAAATTGTCCGTACAATCCATACTTTCTCCAGTTCATGAATAAGTCAATTATATAGAATTAGATTGGTTGAATTTAAAGATTAACATGGGTATCTTAACTGTGAAAACAGTTCGTAAATTAACATTAAACTTCAGACATTCAGGGAGAGATGGAGATTAAAAAGATTAGGACACAAATATAATTTTAGGACAAAAAATACAACAGACAAGCAGGCAGGCAATTGCTTTATTGCATTAATTGCTTGCATGTTGAGATGAAGAATATTTCTTGTTTAAAATTATTTTATTTAGAACATCATTTTCTAGCATCGTAAGAAAAAGATACAGTCATAAACGTTTATGAAAAGAAATTCATTACACACACACACTATTAGTTACACAGTCAGTTAGTGACCTAATACGGAATCATACAGGGTGTGAAATGGAAATCCGTATTGGACTCGGCTTCGTCTCGACCCAATACGGATTTCCATTTCATATCCTGTATGATTCCGTATTAGGTCACTAACTGACTGTGTTACGAATTTATCCAGCTGAAGACGTAACGTTAATTCTAATTTTTTTTTTTAAATCTATGTTCATATTATGAAAATATGATGTTTTAATCCAATAACAATCAACATATAATATCGTAACAAGAAATTTAAGCAATCAAACTACCTACGCAAACCGTTTCTTAACCGCCATTTTTACTTACAATAACAAAGCTTGGAACGGAATCGCGTGCCCGATTTTCATATTACGCTTTGACAGAGTGACGTAATGCGGAAAATTTCAGGGCGTCACGTGATTCGCTTTTATCCAATCGGTAATCGACAAATTTGTCTGAAGCGGGATAAACACACACACACACCCTCACACACCCTCCCTTCCTCTCTCACACATCCTCACACACCCCCTTACACACACACACGATAACTGTGATATATTTTCTAAGAGAACATAATATTACAAAGAGTTATTAAGGTCAGACGACACGTTCCTCAAATTTATGTTTTGTATCTCTTGGTATCATTTAAAAAATTACTCATATATGTCATTCCCTTCTGATTTCTACATTGTTTTCAAAATATTTTTCAATATAAGTACACCAAAAATTGCGATATAGGCCATTCAGAAGATAACCCATAAACCTTTAGGGTTATATAAGTAATATGACCCTGTGGCATTTTGTCCAAATGCCTCGTAAGGTACCCCTACTTTTTGTGAGTAAAGTTGTTTAAGTACCTATACATCAATGAAAAATTCTCAGCAAAAATTGAATATGTATGTTTTTGTCTTTACCATTTAGTAAAAAAAGTGAGTTGGTACGATGGCTTTAAATGTGATTATCACTGCAATCACATTCTAAATTATACACATTTTTCTGCACAGTATCATGGTGAGACATTATATTTAACAGAATATTCCAAAATGTAAAGTGGCTTATTCTTTCCATCATTAGAAATCTCTTATGAATTAAAGGTCTTTTTCACAGACAAACATGAACAAAGCTGAACATGGCAAATCATTCCAAGTTCCGTCCTGGGAAAGTATTCCCATGCAATCTTCACTTCCTTCGTCATTGTTTGGTTCTCCCTGCCTCCAGTTAGAGAAGCGTAATGGTAACCCTGAGTAATTCCAAATCCAGGTGTTTTCTTGTGTATTGTCTGAAGCACCCAACCAGGCCTGGCCTTTATTTTTTAAATAAAAAAAAGATAACATTTCATTTTTGATTATCAGAAAGATTAATAAATTGCATATTGTTTAACGTCCCTCTCGAGAATATATAAGTCATATGGAGACGTCACCGTATGCCAGTGAAAGGCTTCAAATTTAGACCTATGCTCGGCACTCAGGGCCATTGAGCAGTGAGGGTTCTTTATCGTGCCAACGTCTACCATGACACGGGACCTACATTTTTAAGGTCATATTCGAAAGACCCGTGACTTTCACTCCTAGTGCCGAGCAATTGGCGAAGGAACAGTCACTACGGTTTACGTCTAAGGTTTGACGCGGCGCCAAAAATAGAATCGAACCCAGGCCTAACGATCACGAAGAGAACGCACTACCACTAGGCTACCTTAAACGGTAGTATAAGAAAGAAAAAAAATATGAGAAAACTGTATCTATGGTAGTAATTTCAATAAAAAGGTAAATGAAAGAGTTTCTAACAGTCCATCATATGCATTTTTTGAATGCACATGTATATTGTATTTTTGACATTCATCGAAAGAGAGGAAATTCAATAAAATGAACTTAAACTGTACACCATACTGAACACACAGTGTAAAGTTATGTACTGAACGGAGCGGAAAGATTTTATGTGAAAATAACAAAATTTTATTTCCGTAATTAACATTTATAGTCTAAATACTAGACTAAGAGTTATTGAAATCTGCTTAAAATATGTATGTGGATTGGAAGCAAAGTTTCCATATGCAACAGAAGTTGATTATTTGTCAATCAATACTTGAAGTAAAAAAAAAACAATTAAAATTGACATATTCGTAATACTGTATACAGGGACATTTTCGTCTTCGATTTATTTTCGCCCCTTTCGCCCTCATTTGGGCGAATTTAAAACATGACGAAATGAAATAATATGGTATAATTTCTCTAATGAAACTCTGATTTGGCGAATTTAAAACGGGGCAAAATTGTTTGCAAGTGAGAAAGAGCGAAAATTAAATGGGGCGAAAATAACCCTGTATACAGTATTCTCTTATGTCAAGTTCCTTCGTAGGTCATGTAAAATTGTTATAATAAAACAAACACTAACCGTTAGCTTCTCTTTTCTTTATGATGTTTTCTATAAAGATGTTCTCGGGCTTTGTCTCTATTTCAACCAACCTGGCTGACAATCCTCGACAATTATCCTGTAAGATTATGAAATGTGTACGTCTTTTATGTTATTGCACACCTACTCTGTGTTAGTGCAGCCTTGACAAAAACTGTATTATAAGATGGTGGGACTATTAGACCTTGAGGCAAATCCCTGAAAAGTTTGTAATTAGAAATTGATATTTATTTAACAATATGCATTACAATGAATATACATGTATGTTAAAACAGACAAAACCAGAGTAAAAGCAAGCTATTATAAGGTGCATACTAAGTTAATAAAATTGTTTTATACCTATGAAAGAAGTGCAAAAATGTCTAGTATTAAATAATGCGCTTTGTTCTATTTTCATTAAGTACTGAACGGGTCATTATTACAGATTATCTTCGAATGTAAATCTTGTAGATTCCTCACGTTTGCTTGTTCCCATGTTAACTTCTGTGTGTTTAGCATGTAGCATGAATTTCCATGCTTGACCCATCCTTTTAAACAATCTGAAAATAGACCATCAAATAGATTTTAGGAATTTTTGCATTTCATTGCTTTATATTTTTAAACAAACGTTTAAAAGAAATTTGTTTTAAAAAAGGGAATTACAAAAGAAATCGTACATGATACATGTAAACCATAAATGTATATAGAAATATTTGGTTTTTTAAATACTTTGGAGCACATACTATGTAAATTGTTTATCTGTGTTTGAAGATTTTGGAATCTCTTTATGATTTCTTTTTTCACTGAAAGTAAAAGAAGTTTTGAACTCTAATTTATCTGGGTAACCAGCTGTAAGGTTTATAACCACAAAGCAATAATACGTGTGTAGAATGAAATAATTAGTTTTTTTACAATGAATTCTTTCACCAAAGAGGATTTCGGTTTGGTTAGAATACATAAATTTTCTTGTAACTATTCCTATACAAAATCAAGATTCCAAGTTGATTTAAAGAACCTTTCTGTTCCACGTCTTGTAGTTGGGAGTTTAATGACAGCAGAGATTTGTCCGATGCTCCTAGCACACATTTATCATCGCCATTTTTCGTGTCCAGACTTTGGGAAAAACTTATTTGTAGCTGTGACAAGAGGAATATGACAGCAAACATTTGAGCCATAATCTGAAACGATATGCAAATCCTGATATTATCTGCCTTAGACAATGCAGCTAATATAATTTTTTCTTCTTTCTGCAGATAACTGAGGAAGATTTAAGCAACTTTTGTTGGAAGACAAATCCATGGCTAATTGAAACTGTTAATGCAATACACTGAAAACTGAATTAGATTCAGACGTTTAAATTAGTTCTTAAAGGATTTTTTCTAAATCTATATTGTATATAAAAAATTATTTAATTACCAATTTGATCATGAATAAAATTCATTTTCCAGACAAGAATATTTAAGTCTTAACATAATTCGTGCAATTTTGCAACCCGTCCTCTTTGTTTGTATTTTATATTTAAATGAGTTTTTGTTGTTGTTGTTGTTTTTTTAAATAGCAAACACGTAATGATGTTCAACACATAATGATGCTGCAAATAATTTTGATTAGGTACATGTACATATATCATGTTGTTTTATTTTTTGTCCTTTTCATTTAGAATTATACTCGTCTGTCAAATATTACTTTGCTTCGTCTTCCTAAAATTAGATTTCTCATAATTTTGCAGCATTTAACCGATTGTCTTTAGGACTGATTTGAAGACAAGGGAAGAAATATTGCAGGTAAAATAAATATTAGAACATCAAAATATTAGGATAGATATTACAACCTGATTTTCATATAGCCACTGGCAATTATTTCAGGAAAAAAAAGTAACACACCTGTGATTCTTCAAAGAAATCAACTCGTTCAGTATGATAATGGAAATGTGCCGATTTACATGCGAATAAAAGCTTTAAAAGAAACTATCATCTTTTGTTATTTAAATATTTACAAAGCATGAAAACATAACATTTAATGTATGTTTTAATTGCTACAGTCAATTTTAAAAAAAATAAATTTATAGTAAATATATGAAATGTGGTAATATGGAAACTTTATTACATAGGTACATCTTATGTCGTACAAAGCATAGAGTATATTGTCAAATAAAAAATCACTAAACATGTGTCTTTTAATATATATTTTCATATGATTATAAACCTGTAGATCACTTTATTTTCACAACACATTATGCTTGCGAGAGAGTTATCCCGAGATGAAATTTTCATGAATTTTGATTGTTCTTCTTTGCAAAATAATGATATACTAGAGGATGAAATTTTTTGTTAGCACACTGTCTCGCGTAGTTTCGCAAAAATTATAGATGGTTTTTCCACTATGCCCCTCAATCGCTTAATGCGAGATTTTAACATATATATACAAACATTCAACAATTGAGACAAAGTGTTATGATCTCTTGCTTCATGTCTTACCCATCGCCTGGTGTAATTTTTCATTGAATCCATTTTTTTTTATTTTGACTCCAGTTCAAACGTCGGGATTCCCTTAATTTAAGGCCTTTTGAAATTTTTAATACAAGGCTCTCAATATCTAATTGATTTACACAACAATTAATGAAGTGTCCATCAGGACTATAGGTATAGGCGAAGAAGAACTTGAGCACGAAGGAGAATTATGTTTCAAATATTCGATATCTGGGCTCTGTAAAGTTTTATTGTGTTTAAAATGTTTGGAAGTAATAGTCGATGTATATGAAATACAAGGTGCATGTTGTCTACACCTTGGTGGATTTCAAGACGGGACCCTTTGTGATTGAGAATATTAATTAATTAATATGAACCGTATCAACTCCTTTGTAGGTATATTGGAGTTTAACAAAAACACGGGTTGCTTTAACTACATTTTCTTTCGTAAAACGTGGCGGTTTGGTTTAAAAAGCAATGATTTGCAATACAATCAGAGGACCGAGTCTGTATTCAGTCGAGTAAACAATAAATGGTCTTTCTTGACCTACATGTATTCAAGTAGACTATTTAAACGACTTATGTGCTGATTTACATAGAGTAGAAATTTATCAAATGAGACATCATGAGTAAAAGGTTAATTGTAAGACCGATGTCAATGAATTCGCTTACTATTTTGTGTATGTTAAAATAGTCCCATATCATTTAATGTCACTGTGGACTGGAAAGATTCTATGTACACTATAGAATAGTGTCGACACTATCGACATTGTCATTGCACCCATAAGGAAAGACTGTCCTTAGTTTTCTAATATAATATTCTTCTCCGTTGTCTACGGAAAGGTGTACTCACCGTTGGAATGTTTGTATGAAGGTAAATCATTCTACATTTTAACTTTTATTGACAAAAATAGCATGATCGGGTACGTTGACATGTTTGTTTAGAAGCTGTTTGTACACAGTGTTTATTTGAAATTAATGTCCTGATATTCTTTTGAACACTTGGGTGCACCAACATTAAAGCAATATGAGCTGCATGTTTGACATCGGAAATTTTTTTTGCAAGTTTGTAATTAACTATTTCAATGACAGAAAAATCGAACATTTTTAAACTTCTGTTGTTGTTCATATTTGCTTTGAAAGAACTTTTTATACACGTTGATTGAAGCAAAATTGAATTATAGTCGTCCTGTACAATAATGATTTCTTACATGATACTGTATATTCGGTCGTACAAAAATATTTCTTCTGAAACATTTTTAAACTTTATTTTGGTTTTATTGATCATAAGGGTGTAAATTACATACAGATTAATCAAAATAACACATTTTACCAGCAAAATAAAATTCTCAAAAATTCAGCTCATATTGCTTTATTATGTCCACAAGGATTACATTCAATTCCACAGGAAACTTTTGTAGAATATCCACATTTTGGCAAAGAAACTCTGTCCTGTAAGATTACTAGTAAAAGAATTGTACATTATCAAAACGTGACAGGTTTTAAAGTTTTTCGCAGAAAATTTTGAAATAAAAGACATTCGATCGGAAAAAGAAATCTTCAAATATATCTGAATCAGAAACTTTATGTTCTTTTATATTTTGTATGATCTTTTTGTTTAATACCAAAACTCGGATTATTAGGACTGCACATATGGCATATGTTTAATACCCCTGAGGATTATGAGAGGGGCATAGAATGAACTCGTTGAGCCTGTGTCACTTATAAATTCAAAAGAGTGACGCCTTTTTATACTGAGTGACATATCTACAAGTATCATTTCATGTTTTTGTATACTCCTGAAGGAATAGGTAACAAACGACAAGTATCCTCGGTGAGCATCCGTTGCCGTCCGGTAACCCGCAATGTGCTCCTTGTTATGATCGGGAAATCTGTCGGCAATTCAGTGCATATATAATGGTCTAACAGTTATAGAATAAACTAGATGAGATCTCGTTGCGAGCAACGAGTAGGTCTTCCGCTGAATTTCTCGATAAGATGAGATGTGATTTTGACTGAGATATTCGTTAAAAGAGAATGACATTAAGTTTTCCTTCATTAATTTTAAAGTTTCTGTTTTTTATCACGATATCCTGAACATCTTTTGTTCAATATGGCTTATAAAAATACTCCCGCTTTACGAGACGTAAAGCATAAAAAAATAAATAATTTTGGCCCTTTGCAACCAATTATTACGTAACATATGATCAACATTTTATAATATATTATTGCAAATCGTTAAAATGAATAGCTTTGCTTTTAATAATGGATACTTATAAAAAATTATTGATGATGAAAGAGTTGAAGATGAAAAACTTTTGATCCCTCTAAGCCCCTAATTCAAGGAGTCAGCCCCTTTTCTTGATATCAAATGAAAGGTCTTGTGATTTCAAAGATTTTTGTTCAATACCTATCAAGAGATTTCTTTTCCTTGTGGAGATATGCTTCATATACATATTTAGAGGTCAACCCTACAAGTCCTTAATTTGACCGTTTTACAAATATTCACAGTAGGCATATTGTTCAGAACATTATTCTGACAATCTTTTGTTCAATATTGCATATCAAAATATTCCCCCTTTTCGAGATATAAAGCATCAAAGATTTGACATTCTGGCCCCTTATGACCCCAATTACGTAACATATGATCTAAATTGTATTATATATTGTTGCAAATCGTTAAGATAAATACTTTTGCTTCAGTGATATATAACAAAATATTGATCATTAGAGAGTTATAGATAAAAGACTTGCGGCCCCTCTGATCCCCTAATTTGAGAGGTCAGCCCCAGTTTCTTGATATCAAATGGAAGGTCTTGTGATTTTGAAGATTTTTTGTTCAACACTTATTCAGAGATTTCTGTTCGTTGTGGAGATATGCTAAATGGAAATATTTAGGAGCCGCTCCTACAAGTCCTTAATGGGGTCCTTTTACAAAAATTCAAAGTATGCATATTGTTAAGAACATTATTCTGGCCATTTTGTTCAATATTGCTTATCACAATATTCCCCCTTTTCGAGATATAAAGTGTCAAAGATTTGACATTCTGGTCCCTTGTGACCCCTAATTACGCAAGATATGCTTAAAAGTTTATAAAATATTGTTCCAAATGGTCTAAAATTAAAAGATATCAAAAAATCAAGCAGAAAAAATGATAAAATTATATGGTCACAAGGATCGAACCCGGGTCGGCCGTGTGACAATCCAACGCGCTAACCATTTAGCCATTGGGATCGCCGCTTCGTGTTTTCAAATGCAAAAATCTCGAGAGTGGCTTTTTCGATTTTCAAACAAATTACATATTTGGCTTCTGCAAAAGGGTCTATATTCAAAGCAAAAACAAAAATATTAAAAAACAAAAGCTGAAAAAATTGCGGTTTTTAAATTCGCTTCCGGTAGCGACCGGAAGTATTGATGACACACGGAAAGGTGATTCTGCAAAGCTATAAGTCATGAACTGTCATTTCAAATAAGTTTCCAGTTCAAATCTTAAGCAGTTTTCGCTACTAAGTTCAGACAAAATTGCATTTTAAAATCAGGAAATTGTAGATATCTCACGACCGGAAGTGACGTCATAAAAACGCTCTAAAACCTATCAAGATCGATTGATGATCTATTATCTACGTAAATTTCATGTAAATCGACCGAGCCGTTTCTGAGAAATCGCGTGCACATAAATCAGTTGGAAAAAAATAATAATAATAGG